GGGCCAAGTAACCACCAAGGCATAATCTCTGAGTTGGCTGCCCATGGTCCCCCAGTGTGGAGGAGTGAGGACAAATCTTGGGGTTCATCCCCAGAAAAGAAAGTTTAGTGTGACCCACAACTTTCAAGGAACAAAATACCTGGACTGTTATGGGAGGCAGGAGACAGGGGTCTGCAGAGACACAAACCTGTGTGGGGTCCAGGGAAGCCCAGAAAGATATAAGGACTGGATCATTTCTGGGAATTTGCCTAGGAGATAATTGGCATCTGGTGTCTGGGGAATAAAATTAAATGCCAGAAAGATGCCCAGGGCTTTTGACCCTCTCTTGCTCACCCTGCCATGCTCACACAAAGGATGGTTTTATTCTGAGGACACTTTGATTCCATTTTTAAAAGCTCAGTGAGAAAAAAAAAAATCCAACACATTTCTGTTGGAAAAGATTTTGAATCTTAAGCTGCATCTAGCCAACTAGATTCCTGGATAATTTTGCTTTTATTCAGTGCACTTAAACTGTCCCCAATTTTTGTTTCAGTTTTCACTTTTATTTGATTGAAATCATTTTTATCAGGAACGTTTTTTCCATGTGATCTTTGCAGTAAACATTTGATTCATTAATTGGGTTCTTTTTGTCCAATTTTTTATTTTTTTTTTTTACCAACTGTCAATACTCCCTCTGTTTTTTTCAGTAGGGGGGAGGTGGTTATCATTTCTTCAGAGTCAAATTTTGCATCTTTCAACTTATTAAATTATTTTTCTCTCAGTATTTAGTGGATAAGAAGTTTTAGCACAATATTTTTTTGAGATTAAGATTTTAACTCAAAATTTGTTTATTGTGAATATTGATCAAAGATAGGGGGATAATACATATAGCTCCTCCTATGAAGAAGTGGAATCTGTTTTCCCATCACTTGAATCTGAGCTGGTTTTGTCACTTATTCTGACCAACAGAATACATCAGAGGTGATGTTGGGCTAGTTCTGAGCCTAGAACTTAAGAGACAAGGCAGCTTCTTCTTCTTCTTATTTTTTTTTGAGAATATTTGATTGTGGTAAAATATACGTAACCTAACATTTGCCATTTTAAATGTAAAATCCAGTGGCATTAGGTGCATTCACAATGCTGTGCAATCATTACTACCTACTTCCAAAACTTTTTCATCATTCCCAAGTAGAAACTCTGTCCCTATTTAAAAACTCCCCATTACCCACCCCCTACCCTGCCCAGACCCTGGTAACCTCCATTTCACTTTCTGTCTCTATGAATTTATTTTAGGCATCATCTAAGTGGAATCGTACGTTATTTGTCCTTTTGTGTTTGGTTTATTTCAGTTAGCAAATATTTTCAAGTTCATTCATGTGTTAGAACTTCTTTCCTTTTTACTAAAAGTTAGATCACATTCTGATGTTTGCACAGACTGTATTTTGCTTATCCACTCATCTGTAAATGGGCATGGGTAGTTTCCACCTTTTGGCTACTGTGAATAATGCTGCTATGAACACAAGTGTACAAGTAACTGTTTCAGTCCCTGCTTTCAATTATTTTGATACATACCCAGGAATAGACTCTTGAGCAGAGAAGGCAATGGCACCCAACTCCAGTACTTTTGCCTGGAGAATCCCATGGACGGAGGAGCCTGGTAGGCTGCAGGCCATGGGGTCGCTGAGGTTTGGACACGACTGAGCGACTTCACTTTCACTTTTCACTTTCATGCATTGGAGAAGGAAATGGCAACCCACTCCAGTGTTCTTGCCTGGAGAATCCCAGGGACGGGGGAGCCTGGTGGGCTGCTGTCTATGGGGTTGCACAGTGTGGGACACGACTGACGCGACTTAGCAGCAGCAGCTGCAGGCTCTTGAGAGTCCCTTGGACTGCAAGGCAATCAAACCAGTCAATCCTAAAGGATATCAATCCTGAATATTCATTTGAAGGACGGACACTGAAGCTAAAGCTCCAATACTTTGGCCACTTGATGCAAAGAGCTGACTCATTAGAAAAAACCCTGATGTTGGGAAAAATTGAGGGCAGGAGGAGAAGGGGACAACAGAGGACAAGACGGTTGGATGGCATCACTGACTCAATGGATGTGAGTTTGAGCAAACTCTGGGCGATGGTGAAGGACAGGGAAGCCTGGTATGCTGCAGTCCATGGGCTTGCAAACAGTTAGACACGACTGAGTGACTGAACAACAAGAGGAATGAAATTGTTGGATCATATGATAATTCTATGTTTAACTTTTTGAGGAGCCACTAAAGTGTGTTCTACAGTGGCTGCACCATTTTAAATTCCCAGCAGCAAAGCCTGAGGGTTTCAATTTCTTTACTTTCTTACCAATATTTATTATTTTTTAAAAATTATAGTTATTCTAGTAGGTGTGAATTGTTATCTCATGGTGGCTTTGACTTGCACTTACCTAGTGACTAATAATATTGAATATCTTTTTATGTGCTTATTGGCCATTTGTACATCATCTTGGGGTAAATGTCTATTCAGGTCTTTTGCCCATTTTTAAACTGAATTGTATGTTTTTGTTGTTATTTAGGTGGAGAATTCGTATATATGTTCTGGATATCAAGCACTTATCATGTGATTTATAAGTATTTTCACTCATTCGATAGGTTGTTTTCACCTTCTTGAAGATGTCCTTTAATGCATGAAAGTTTTAAATTTTGATGAAGTCCAGTTTATCTATTTTTTTGGTCACCTGTGCTTTGCATATCATGTCTAAAAATCTGTTGCCAAATTCAATGTTGTACAGGTTTACCCTTATGCTTTCTTTTAAGAGTTTAATAGTTTTAGCTCTTACATTTAGGCTGTTGTTCCACTCTGAGTTAATGTTTATGTGCAGTGTGATCCAAGTGTCCAATTTCATTCATTTGCTTGTGGAAATCTGGTTGTCTCAGTACCATTTGTTGAAGATACTACTTTCCCCTCTTTGAATGGACTTGGCACCATTGTGAAAAATCAACTGGCCATTGATGTATGGGTTTATTTCTGGACATTCAATTCTTTTCCGTTGGTAATACATCTCTTCTTGGGTCAGAACCACACTGTTTTGAACTTTTTTGTTACCGTAGATTTGCATTGTTTAAAATCATAACGTATGAGTCCTCCAGCTTGACACTGAAGGTAGTTATTTTGTTACTGAAATATATAACCACTCTACAATGGTTGTGGGCTTCCCTGATAGCTCAGTTGGTAAAGAACCCACCTGCAATGCAGGAGACCCCGGTTTGATTCCTGGGTCCGGAAGATCCCCTGGAGAAGGGTTAGGCTACCCACTCCAGTATTCTTGGGTTTCCCTTGTGGCTCAACTGGTAAAGAACCCGCCTGCAATACAAGAGACCCCGGTTTGATCCCTGGGTCAGGAAGATCCACTGGAAAGGGAAAGGCTACCCACTCTGGTATTTTAACCTGGAAATGTCCATGGGGTTGCAAAGAGTTGGACACAACTGAGCGACTTTTACTTTCACATGTTTTTGGTCTTCCCTGATAGGTCAGTTGGTAAAGAATCTGCCTGCAATGTAGGAGACCCAAGTTTGATTTCTGGGTTGGGAAGATCCGCTAGAGAAAGGATAGGCTACCCACTCTGGTATTCTTGAGTTTGGCTTTGTGGCTCAGTTGATAAAGGATCCGCCTGCAATGTGGGAGACCTGGGTTCAATCCCTGGGTTGGGAAGATCCCCTGGAGAAGGGAAAGGCTACCCACTCCAATATTCTGGCCTGGAGAATTTCATGGACCGTATAGTTCATGGGGTTGCAAAGAGTTGGACAACTGAGCGACTTTCACTTTCACAATGGTTGTGTTAGTTTCTGCTGCACAACACTGTGAATCAGTCATAAGTATACATACATCCCTTCCCTGTTGAATCTCCCTCCAACTCCCCATCCCACCCCCTAGGTCATCAAGAAAGATCCTAGGCAAAGGATCCACTAAGTCATGGCTATATTCCTAACCCACAGAAACCTGGAATAATAAATATGTGTTAATCCACTCAGTTTGTAGCAATTAGTTATACAATAATAGATAACTTTTGTGTAGAGGAGCCAGAGTTGAAACAAACAATCAAAGAACAATTTGGAAATAGATCATAGAATGACACAAGATATCCGAAGGGATCCAAGAAGGAGAGTTTTGAAAACTGAGCAGAATAAACATCATAGGAGATGCTCGAAAGGAAGATGATTAAAGACCAAGTACCTAAAATAGCATCAGGATAAGATGGTTGTATAGCCTCACCCTGGTCTCCCCTATACCCCAGCTTGTGGCCATTTGGTATTTAAAACCAGTTTGGGCTTTCTTTTTTTGTGACACCACACAGAATGTGGGATCTTAGTTTCCTGACCAAGGATCAAACCCATACCCCCCTGCACTGGAAAAGAGTGTGTGTGTGTGTGTTTGTGCAGGTGTGCATGTTCTCAGTCTTTGTGACCCCATGGACTGTAGCCCGCCAGGCTCCTCTGTCCCTGGGACTCTCCAGGCAAGAATACTGGAGCAGAGTGCCATTTCCTATTACTTCAGGGGACCTTCCTGACCTAGGGATTGTACTTGCGTCTCTTGCATCTCCTGCATTGGCAGACAGATTCTTTATCATTAGCGCAAGGAGGGAGGTCCCTGGGCTGGAAGCGTGAAGTCTCAATGACGGGACCACCAGGGGAGTCCCTGGGCTTTCACTTTTGACCTATTGGATCTTGGATGGTTTCTTACTCAGCTCTGGCCCTGGTGTCTCCCTCTGACTTTGCTGCCCTCTGCAACCTCAGGCTGGCCACAATCCTGGAGAAGAAACTGGGCAATCAGTCCATCCCTGGCATTCTTCCTTTCTCGTCCTCCCAACAGAAAAAGAGGATTTGGATAGCAAAGATTCATCAATGACAGGCAAGTTGCAAGGTCAGGCAAAAGAAGAGGAAGGGAGATGGAGCTGGAGCAGCCCAGGAGGAAGAAGGAGACACAGCAGGTAAGGCCATCAGGGGAGTCCCAGGAAAGTGGAGTTCAGGCAGGAAGGAGGAAGTGGCCCCCTTTATCAAGGGTGGGACCAAGACAAAAATGGGTCTGCTGTTTTTCTCAAAGGAAAGGTAGATACTGTCATTGGTGATTTGGGGCGGGGGTGAAGGCAGGAATGAGAACAGCCCTCTTCTGAGAAGTGTGATGATACCCAGGGATTTCCCCCCAAAGATGGAAGAAGTGTGGTCCTGTTCCTGGAAGTCTTCCTGTTCCAAGACGTGGGGCACAGTTTACCCACATGACCAGGAGTGGAGCCGTGGAGGCTGGAGGAACAGCTGGCTCAGGACATTTTACTGCAGGGCAGAATGTGTGGTGGGGCATGCCTTCCTTCCTGGGGCTCTAGAGGAGCTAAGCCTCAAAGTGAGTAAACGAGCAAACTGGAGGACTGTGATGTCACTCTAAAGAGCAGGTAAGACGTTGAGAGAGGAGGAAGAGCGGCATGCCAGGCAAAAGGACCAGCCCACGGCGAAGTCAAGGAGGCAGGAAGGTGTCTGTTCTGTTAACCTATGTCGAAGCCTGCTTGACCACTGGGTGGCGCTGTCCAGCCTGGCGAGAAACCCATTAGGCTGTTGGTTCCCTGATTTCCGGCCCACAGCCCATCGTGGTCTTCTCCTGGTCTGTGACGTTAGCTGCGGTTCTGGAATTCTGGTGCTGGGAAGTTTCTGTGAGGCCAGCCCAGCCCATTGAGCCCTATTTCAATGATGCCTCTATAGCAGCGGGTGGCACTCGTCAGAGCGCTGTGGAGGAAGGTGGGGTCTAACCGGGGGCAAGTCTTTGGGGAAATCTTCCTGCTGTCAGATGAGATCTTCTGAGGGATGACAGTCTGCTCCTCACCTGGTTTTGGATGGGGCTCCAAGTGGCTGAGAAAGGAAGGCTTCTTGGAGGAAAGTGGTGTTAAAAGATGTGATTTGTCAGTGGAAGAGAGAGGTGAGATTCTGGGTGGGAATGGAGGACTGGGCAGTTGTGCATGTCTGGGTGGTAAAGAAGATGATAATGGGCAATAGAATGAGACAACATTTCTTCACTCATCTCATGTGTTTACTAGACATTTGTCGAACACCTGCTTTGATTCCAAGGACACATTCTCCTGTAGAACTCACAATCTGGAAGGGGACACAGATCTGAAAGCAGAGAACTTTTGTGTGATACCTGGAAAAGGGGTTGGGATTGCCCAGAAGAGGCATCTGACCCAGCCTGGAGGGAACCTAGGATGGCTTCTGTGATACAATAGGAAATATATCTGGACTTCCCTGGTGCTCCAGGGGTTAAGAGTCCACCTGCCAATGCAGGGGTCATGAGTTCAATCTCTGGTCAGGGAACTAAGATCCCACATGCCTGGGATTCGACTAAGCCCGAGGGACTCAACTACTGAGCCCGCTGCCACAACTAAGACCCAACACAGCCAAAAATAAAGGTACATTCAGAAATAAATGGAGCTTCCCAAGTGGTGCTAGTGGACCTGCCTGCCAACGTAGGAGACATAAGAAACGTGGGTTTGATCCTTGGGTCGGGAAGATCCCCTGGAGGAGAGCATGGCAGCCCACTCCAGTATTCTTGCCTGGAGAATCCCATGGAGAGAGGAGCCTGGTGGGTTATAGTCTATGAGAGTAGCACAAAGAGTCGGATATGACTTAGCAACTTAGAAATAAATATTTAAAAAATAATAAGGCAACAGACCAAAAGTGGAGTTACTTATGGTAAATCTCATGACACCTAACTCAGTCTTTTCTTTCTCTTTCTTTTTAAAAATTTTTTTAAACTGTGAAGGCATGATAACACATTTACAGGAGACTTGGAAAATACAAAGTTACATATACCTGGTGGTGGTGGTTTAGTCACTCAGTTGTGTCCGATTCTTGCAACTCCATGGACTGTAGCATGCCAGGCTCCTCTGTCCATGGGATTTCCCAGGCAAGAATACTGCAGTGGGTTGCCACTTCCTTCTCCAATTGTCCCACTATGTATTACAAATTTTTAAAGTAGATAAGATTTTTAGCTGGAGTTTCAATATCAAACTCTCAAAAATTCATAGAATGAATATACAGAAAAGTAGAAGGATATAGTAGACCTGAAAAGCACTATGAACCAATTCAACATAATAAAAATTTATACAATTTTCACACAACAGTAGGATACAAATTCTATTCAAGTTCCCATAGACTACAAACTAGGAGACACTGGAACATATCTAGGGACATAAAACAAGGTGCAAAAATTTCATGGTCTAAAGGTATTGAAACCATACAGAGTCTGTTCTTTTATCACTGTGGAATTATGTCAGAAATCAGTGTCAAAAGATATTTAAAAATAACCCACATATTTTCAAGTTCAATGTGACATTTATTAATACCAAGGGATATCTTTGACTTAACCGGTGAAAGCCTCAATAAAGCCTAACTCAGTCTTCATGACAGTTTCAGCTGTTTCAGAAATGAAATCTTAAGCCAGCCAATCAGGAATCATCTGATAGACCCCTGCCATCCCTCTACTGGAAAGTAACTTTGCAATGACCCACACACTTTTTTTTCAGGTACAACTTCCTTGACCCTGCTCCTGTCTGCCTAGAAAACCTCTAACCTTGTCCAGCCCTTCAGAGCTCCTTTCTGTCTGCCAAACTGGATGCTGCCCGGTCCATGCATCACTGGATAAAGCCAACAAGATCTTTAACGTATACGCAGTTGCTTTTTTTTTTTTTAAACAGAACTGATTTGGTCTCCAGGTGGATGATGTCAGAACTGCCTTCAGTCTGCAGGACACCCCATTGGAATCCGGTGAGACTTGGAGAATGGCTCAAGGATGCTGGAAAATACTCTGGAGCTTTCTTAAGATCATATTCTAGGGGAAAGGTTACATCCTGAAGGACTGATTGTTCAAGAGGAGATGGGACAGGGTGGTTGGAGAATGGGTGTTTTCTGTTCGGGCAATCAGCACGTGCAGAGGTCAGGAAGTGAAAGAGAATGCGGCTTCCTGGAGGAACAGAAAGTTTTTCAGCAGGCCTCCGCAGCCCCAGGAGAGGAAAATGGGGTGGCCAGTTCAGGATCCAGTCACCAAGTATTGAACACCAGGCAGTGTGTGTTAGTTGCTCAGTTGTGTCAGACTCTTTGTGACCCCATGGACTGCAGCCCTCCAAGCTCCTCTGTCCATGGGATTTTCCAGGCAAGAATACTGGAGTGGGTTGCCGTTTCCTCTCCAGGGCATCTTCCCAACCCATGGATTGAACCTGGGTCTCCCGCATTACAGGCAGATTCTTTATCAGCTGAGCCACCAAGAAAGCCCTACAAGGCAGAGAGGTTTGTAGTGAACGTAGTAGGAATAGCTCATCCAGTAGAGTGTCTTGTCTCCTTTCTGAGAGGCTGGTGTTCCAGCTCTGCTGATGTGTCTTTGGAGATGGGAAAGCCACCACCTTCCCAACTGTGTCTCCAACTCTGAGGCCATGAGTGGTATGTCTCCTCAACTCTTGAGCCTCAGTTTTCCCCATATGAGAAATGGGGACACAGATCATCTTAGTCCATTCAGACTGCTGTAACAGAATACCATAGACTTCTGAGGGCTTAAGCAACCAACATTTATTTCTCAGAGTTCTGAAGGCTGGAAGTCTGAGATCAACATGTGAGGGGACTGCCCTGGAAGTCCAGTTGTTAAGAATTCACCTTTCAATGTAGGGGACAGGGGGTTTAATCCCTGGTCAGGGAACTAAGATCCCACATGCCAGGGAGCAACTAAGCCTGAGCTTAGAAACTAAGTTAGAGAAAGCCTGCCCAATACAACAAAGAGCTCACATGCTGCCACAAAGACCCAGTGCAGCCAAAAAATAAAATAAATTAGATCAATATGTGGAGAGATTTGGTGTCTGCTGAGAATTTTGTGTTTTTGTGTGTGTGTGCTCAGTTGTGTCCGATTCTTTGTGACCCCATGGACTGTAGCCCATCAGGCTCCTCTGTCCATGGGATTCTCCAGGCAAGAATACTGGAGTGGGTTCCCATTTCCTCCTCCAGGGGATCTTCCTAACCCAGGGATTGAACCCACGTCTCTTTCACCTCCTGCATTGCAGGCGAGCTCTTTACCACTAGCACAACCTGAGGATATGCCTCCGGGTCCGTGGAAGACCAGCTCCTTCTGGCTATGTCCTCAGGTGGCGGAAGCAGGAGAGAGCTCTCTGGTGTCTCTCTTAAAAAAATTTTTTTTTTTAATTTATTTGGCTGTGCCAGGTCTTAGTTGCAACATGTGAACCCTTGGTTACAACATGTGGGATCTAGTTCCCTGACCGGGGATTGAACCAGGTAGTCCTCTGCATTGGGAGTTTGGAATCTTAACCACTGGACCATCAGGGAAGTCCCTGGGGTCTCTTTTATAAGAGTGTTGATCCCATTCTTGATCTAATTACTTCCCAAATACCCCACTTCTGAATATCATCTCACTGGGGATTTGGTTTCAAAGTAGGAATACCAAGGTGGGGATGTTGGACATAAGCATTCAGTCTATGATTCAGACCCACCTCACAGGTCTGTCATGAGAAAAGTTAGGTCTCTTGGCACCAAATAGTTGCCCGATAAAATTCATTTCTTTCTCTCCTTTAAAGAAACTTTTTGGCCATAGCATGTGGGATCTTGGTTCCCCAACTAGGGATTGGACTCGTGTCCCCTGCATTGGAATGCACAATCTCAGCTACTGGACCCCCATGGGAGTCCCATTCCTGCTCTTTTCTTTAAATAGCAAAAACTCTTCCAAAACACCTTGAACATGTTGCACAGCTGAATCTCCCATGCTCTGTCCAACCATCCCACTAGCACACCTCACTCTGGCTGTATCACTACTTTTCCATTAAAAATATACAAGTGATGGGATTTCCCTGGTGGTCCAGTGGTTAGGTAATATCCATTGGAAGGACCGATGCTGGAGTTGAAGCTCTAGTACTTTGGCCACCTGATGCGAGGAGCAGACTCATTGGAAAAGACTCTGATGCTGGGAAAGAGTGAGGGCAGGAGGAGGGGTGGGTGACAGAGGATGGCATCACCGACTCAATGGACATGAGTTTGAGCAAACTCTGGGAGATAGTGAAGGACAGGAAGCCTGGCGTGGTGCAGCCCATGGGGTGGCAAAGAGTCGGACACAACCTAGCAACTGAACAACAACCAGTGGTTAGGACTCTGCTTTCGCTGCTAAGGGCGTGCTCAATTCCTGTTTGGGGAGCTAAGATCCTTCAAGCCACATGGCATGCCCCTCCCCCCAAAAAAGCTTAAAAAGAGAAATAGATGAAGGGAAAAAAGAATATACAAGTGATAATTCATTTGTTATCATCTTTGAATTGCCCATTACTTGCCAGTCAGTGTTCTTAACACTGGGATATAGCAGTGAATAAAACAGATTCGGTCTCCTTCCTCTGAACAGTTGGCTCCAGCTGTTTTTATAAATAGTCTAGTGAAACTCAGCCCCACCCAACCACTGATACATATTGTCCCGGTTTTTACAGGGGTACGGTGGAGTAACTGTGGCAGAAATGACACCCAGAATATTTGATATCTGGTCCTTTTCAGAAAACATTTGCCAATTTTTGGTCTAGAAGGTTACCTTCTGGGTGAGATAGCTAGGTTCAGATTTTGAACCTGAATCTTGTCCTCTTCTCTCTTTTTCTTATTGTGGTTGTTCAGTCACTCAGTTGTGTACAGCTCTTTGTGACCTCATGGACTACAGCACACCAGGCTTCCCTATCCTTCACTATCTCCCAGAGTTCACTTAAACTCATGTCCATTGAGTCGGTGATGCCATGCAACCATCTCATCCTCTGTCACCCCCTTCTCCTCTTGATGCAATCTTTCCCAGTATCAGGGTCTTTTCTAATGAGTCAGCTCTTTGAATCAGGTGGCCAAAATATTGGAGCTTTAACTTCAGTTAACTTTAACTTCAGTTTCAGCTTTAACTTCCAGTGA